TTTGACTGTATGATCTGGTGAACTGTAAAGTGCCTTGAGATGACATGTGTTGTGAATTGGCGCTATAGAAATAAACTGAATTGAATTGGGGTCACCTATTTTTATTCACCACTAGCTATACAACTATATAACTAGCTATATAAAGCTAAACAAGCGTGTTTTTAAATAATATGTACGTATTGAATGTCCCACATTCACAATTCAGTGACCCACAACAAGCTGATCTGCGTAAAGATGACACACACCCATGGGAAAAAACTGAAAAACAACAGAGTGAATGGTTAGTGCTTCATTAAAGCAGGTTTGTAGAGTTAAAATGATCATTTGTGCTATTTTTGTTTCTGAGGAATTACATATTTTTAGATCCTCCAGAGATCAACCATCTCTGCCATTAATCTCTGGATTGAACCAAAGCATTTTATTATTTTAGTGCTCAGTTAGTGCAGATGTGCAAAGCTGTACTGCTTTTGTTTTTTTAAAATATCGTTTTTAATTTCAGTCGATGTCATCATTGCTTGGTGACTAAATTGTGCATGTGGGACATTCAATGTTCAGGTGTAGAGCACATTATGCTCGTTTAGCATTATATAAGCTTGTGGCGAATGAAAATAGGGGACTCCAATGCACCCGTGGAGCATAATATACGCCCATGTTTCGTTTTTGCAGTAATCCTGACACCATATTTACCCCGACCTCTCTGCTGTGCGCCTTGGTTTTTCAGGATGCTGATGTGTCATTAATGTTCTCCAACAAACTAAAACCAATGAACTTAAACAGTGACAAAATTCCATTTTTTTAAGGAACTCTTTCATCTAAACAGAACTCATAATAGCCCCTGTATACACAGAACACAATGGTTAAAAAAGGCGCATCTAGACAAGGATTGTGCTGGTTATTCAGGTACAGCTGTAGCAACCTGAAGAGAAACGCACCTGAATGGGTTTAGAGAAGCCAAAAATGCCTGAAGATATCCACGCCTCACGTTTTAGTAGTGTGGTTGATGGCTGCTCCAACGAGTCTTGGAAAACACAACGCTCCTCCACAGACTAAAGGAAAGGAAACATTTATTGGATGAAACTTTCGTTAACACTGGGTTTCTAAACAATTTCTAAATCTAAAGGGCATTTTTCTTTGCTTTTACATGGAATGAGGCCTCACCATGAGAGTGGTGTGATTCAGGTTCCAGGTGTAGGTGGTTAAGCTTCTGTTGACGGGGTCCACGATGGAGTCCTCCACGATGTAAACGCAGCGAGACATTCCAACAGGGAAGAACCTCTCCGCCCAACGAGGCAGCCGATTGGTCTTCATCAGCAGGCGTCTGGAGAGGAGGCGGTGGTCCGTGGTCACCTCCCGGTACACAACGTCCTCGGTAAGGACATGGGTGCTGGGAGACAGAGACACGTTAACTATGGCTGCTTAGATTGACTTCAAACTGATCAGACAAATAGGTGAGAAAATTAATAAAATTATACATTTTTGGTATTATATTTTTCTATAATAATTCAAATTATGTTTTTCAGATTTAGAATTGTATATATGTGTATGTATACACATATACATATATAAATATATATATAAAAACATGATGATATGCATTTTTCTGAATAGACCTAACAGGGCTGATCATAAAATATTTCTGTGAAGTCAAAAACTCTGGTAAAAAAGGGCAGAACAGTTTCAACTAAAAATACATCTTGGAAATAGTTTAAATCATGGTACAATATCCAACACAAAGCAGAGGTTTTCATTTGGGCTGCGACTAACGATTATTTTGAAAATCGATCCATCTGTCATTTTCTCGATTAGTAATCAGATAGCCAAAGGGTCCTTAAATAAGATTTTTCGCTAAATGAAACCAGGTGAAACTAAAACTTTTCCGCTTGAGGAGTTTTGAATAGAGCATACTGACAGAGGGCATATTGGGGAGTGGCTGCAGTTTTTTTTATCTTAAATGCAAAATGTCTACATATTTCTTTGCCATTTTGATACAATTACTGATCTAAGTTGGTCACTCTGTCAGCTAAAGGCATATTTTACAGTTTCTATACTCCAGTTAATGATTAATGGAGTACTAAATTAGTTGACAACTATTTCAGTAATTGATTAATCCGTATAACTGTTTCAGCCCTAGTTTTCATTCAGAGTTTACCAAGGCTTAGTAACGGGGACAATTCTTCTTTTGCACGTTATTTCTATTCACACAGTTTTTTAAACAGCAACAGTCAACACTGAAGAATCTTATTTTTAACTTGGGTTGTTAATATAAAGACAGGTATGAGTTACGTGTAAACACTATTACAATGTAAAGTAAATCAATGTCTAATGCGAAAAATTGCGCAACTCAAGCTACAGTATAAATATTTATAATCATAGCTTCTCATATAACGTATTTGAAACTCTGTGGATCACAAGACAAACAATAATAACACATTTTTCATTCTCAGGAAAAAAATAAAAGTGCAACAAGACCAGTTAATGCAACCATCAGTGCAAGTTAAACACACAGCAGTTTCAGGACACGGCGGCTTCTTAACAGTTGCACATTTTTTGGATTAGTTTCAATACTGAACTGAAAGATAAAAAAAAAAAAAAACTCTCAGACTGATTGGTTATCAGTTTGGAGAAATGTTTGCATACTGCTTCAGTTGTTCTCACTCTTAGTGTTTCAAAGGTGACCCAGTCTGAACTTAATAAGTGGAAATAAAAAAAAGTGGCTTGTGAGAAGGTTAAGATTGAAAAATCTGATGCTTTTAGTCTGTTTAGATTGTTTGCATCATTTATTTTGCCTGCATTTTTTATATTTCTATAGTATCTCCAATCCAGCCTTAGATTTGGAAAATGCTAAAAAACCTTTAATATTCTCATTTTGAGAGAAAGAACCAAAACAGCTAATCTACCATCTGACCACCTAAAAACAATAAACATGGTTTTACTTCTCTTCACACCTATTTTTCAGTTCTCTATTTGCATCAAGACTGAGTTCCTTATGCTTGTTTTCTGAAGTCATCAGTTATTCTCAGCGTGAATTTGAAATGCATCTTTATTTATTTTATTATTATTATAACATTTAACCCATGTTTGGCACCTTGTGTGCATTAAATGATATTCAAAGTGTTTAATATTTAAAGTTAGTGAACACAATAAGTTTTATTACCATTTGCTGTGAACTGTATGAGGGTGTTAAGCCTAATAATCAGTTTACTTGATGAGTAATTTGGGCAGGCTTGCATGCATCTTAAAGAATTTGTTTAATTTCAAACAAAAAGTGAATATTTGATCTACAATAGCGGTCATGACTAAAGAAGCAAACTATTTCTTTTTCTCTCAATGCTCGATTTTTTTCACTTACACAATAAATAGAGCAGCTTCATTACCTGAAAGGATTCGGGTATCTCTGCCAAAAAGCAGAGACAACATGGTCCCAGGTGCTTTTGATGTCTGTGGAGTTACAAAAATATTTGACCATATTTCTGCCACTTCGGTGAAAGATGATTTGAATCCTGACACCTGAGGTCCCTTTGTGTGATTTTGCAAAATAACGAGAAGCTGGAAAATGACTCCATCCAAATACTGGGACTGTCCTGAAAATGAGTGGGAAAAATATATGAAATTCAATATCAGAGCAGCAAAAATACATCAGATTCACCTTTGAGACAAAAGTTAAAGTCAAACACAAAATGCATCCTAAAAGAAAACACCAAGCAAATCATAAAGACACAAGATCCAGTGTTTCTGGATTAAAAATAACAACCTGTCAGAAGGTATTTACCAAACCCAATAATTCTCAAGTACATATTCTAATCTAAAAAAACAAAAAAGAAGCTTGGAAAGATAAAACAGTGTAATTAATCTATAAAATGTGAATAAACTTCATGATTTGAATTCCTGAAATGACAAATATCTAACAATCTCTTACTTTCTTGAGATGTTATTGGATAACTTAAGCCAGTCTGAGCTATATTACACCAATATTTGATCATTTATCATAATTATTTCACTTGAATCATTTATATATTTAAGAGAAACTGAAGTAACGGTTAAAATGGTCACAGGTTCTCACTTTATCACCCCCAGCTCACATGACACATCCATAGCGACTTCTAAAAATGACCTGATATAATCAACCAAAAACGAGCCTAAACGCTACAGAAAAGTTAACAGTAATGACCAGGTTCAGTTGTCATCTATTAATTCATCTTTGGCTCTTCTAATCACAACAAATGATTATAGACCAACCTAACAGATCGAGACCAAGGTTAATAAATAACCCAGCTTGGCTAGCCTAAAACCCCGACTGAACAAGCACCGGAAATCAGAAACTCTTACCTTTATGAAGTGCTAAATAAAAGCTACGTCGACTGACATTAATAAATTATATTTTTATAGCTTCAGGCCCCAAAATACGAAAACATTAGCTAATCAAAAGACATGATGCTAGTAGTGACTGAGAGGATAGACGTCATAGGGTCGTCGAAATAATACTATTTCCGGTTATTATTCAAAATAAAAGAACCTTTCTTTTATTTTCAAAATAAAATAACCTTTCTTTTATTTTGTTTTATTTTTTTATGACAGATGGGAAAACCTCTCCATTCAATATAACCCTAACCCTGCAAATTAATTAACAGATATTTATTTCAGCACACATACACTGCATAAAAGCAAGACATTGCCCTAATGTCTGACACTGACTCAGAAACTGGAATTGACTTGAGACAGGTCATACCGTTTTTTTTTATTATTAAAAGAACGAGAGAGAGAGAGAGAAAGACAGAATATAATTTATTAAATGATTTCAAAGATGTTATACAGTAGTGACTAAATATTATAAGCATACCACCAAATTTGTTACACACTCGCTTAACAGCCCAGGTGTTTTAGAGTGACTATAATTAAGTCCTGATCTGTGGATTACACTTTTTTTCATATTCCCACCTGCACTTTTTTTCCACTAATTGAAATGTCTATAAATACACATTAACATCAATTCAACACACTGTAGTAAACAAATCAGTGAAGGCAAAAAATGTATTTCAGTCTTCAATGCATTCAGTTACACACCGGTGCTTTTTCAAGCACTGTTTCATTCACAACACCTGCCCCATCAATGAAGAATCAGAATCAGAAATACTTTAATCATCCCAGGGTGAAATTACTTTTGTTACATTACTCCATCTGTAATAGAGTGACTATAGGACCAATTTGAAATAACACAATGTCATACAATATATATAACTTGGGGGTCCCCGCTCCATCCCGCCATCAGTTTAGGGGTCCTTGGCCTGGAAAACGTTGAAGACCCCTGTCCCAGACATTTAATCAAATCATAAAATTTGAAGTGCACTTTGACTTTAAATGGCATATTTTAAGGCGGAATATGGGAAGAGGCTGGAAAGCAAACTTCAGAAAAACAAAACTTGAGATATGTGGTCAGGGATGAAGATCACAGACTTGAAGCAGAAGGTTGATCAGACAGATGAAAGTCTGGACAGAGCCAATGAAATGAGCACCTTCTTCTACAGGTTCAGTTCTAGAACAAGCTCAGCATCCCTTTCTCTTGTTCACAGACACATGGACATCTTGCCCTGCTCTGGCATTGACTCTCCTGCTTCTATTAGTTTGTTGTCAGCCAAATCAGAAGATGGTGCTGCTTCCTCTGCATTTCGCCTTTGTCTGTAGAAGTCAAGTAAAGAGGCAGCTGAGACTGGATCATAATAAGTTACGATTTTAAATCCTGTAGGCAAGAGCAGCTCTGTGGGATTCAAAAGCACCACTTTAACCATAGCCTCACCCAGGAGAGAGTTCCAGTGATGTAGAAGACCTCCTGCCTTCTTCCAGTTCCCAAGAATAAGCCAACAGTAGACTTGTAATTTACCAGCATGAAGGACATGCATGGACTTCTGTTGGTTCACCCCAGCAAGCAAACAAGCAGCTATCAGAACTCCCTTCTGTTTGCTTGTCGCCATAGAGCTGGTGTTGAAGATGCCATCATACACCTGCCTTAACAATCCCACTATCATTTAGACAAGGCAGAAAGCACTGCAGTGATTATGTTCTTTGATTTCTCCAATGCATTTAATATAATTCAGCCCGACATACTTTCTGAGAAACTCCAGAAGACTCAGATGGAGGCATCAGCAATCACCTGGATCAAAGACTGCCTGTCAAACAAACCACAGTTTATTAGACTGAAATGTCAGCGGTCTAACCAAGTAGTCAGATATACATGATCACCACTGGGGACAATATGCTGACCATACCTTTAAACTCTGTACACCACTGCCTTTCAGGACCAGACAGAGTCCTGTCATCTGCAGAAATACTCGGATGACTGTGCAGTCATGGGGTGCATCAAAGATGGTCAAGAAGCTGAGTACAGTGAGCCGATTTATGGCTGGTGTGAAAATAATCCTCTGACCCTGAATGTGAACCAAACAAGGGAGAGGATTGTAGATTTCAGAAGAGACCGAATCAAGCTGGATTCTCTTACTGAGGACCATCTCCAGTAAGAGGTTTCACCAACTATGTATGGGGTGGGGGGGGGGGGGGGGGATCTTTGTCTCTCTCTCAAACAAACACTTTTCTAGGTTTTAGAAAATATTAAGAATTTTTTTCCATATTTAACTTTATCTTATTTTCTAATGAAATATTTTGAATTAGGGACCGAGGTTTAGTTGTGAAGGTTCCAACCTGTGGATGCTCGTGAACAGATGGAATACTTAAGTTGTTTGCTTCATAGACATTGCTTTTTATACATTTTTTTATGTTGACATCTAGCAATTAATCATTTATTGGGCAAGTTACTGTTTTTAATCACTTACATTCCCCTAAAAATGGAGTCCCCCCCATCCCTCAATGAAGTCTAAAAGCCCAAGATCTATATCCAGCCATTCAGCAAAGATACTGCAACATGGCTGTACATCTTATTTTGGCATTTGCCCAATTAGATGAGCGCTTTAATGATATATTACCTACTGTTAATAAGGTTGAAATAAAACATTAAGTCAAGAAAAAAAGGTAAACAGCCAATTGAAAAGATAAAAGGTAAGTAAAAAAGTTAATAAACCTAGTTAAGAAATCTATTTAGGTTTATAAACAAAAAAATGTAAGTGCCAGTATCAGCATTATGCTGCTTTATGCATGGCTCGAAGGTTATGTTGTACCAACAAAAAAACGTGTTTCTTTCACTCTCAGTGTTTTCCATGAATTTCTCATAGAAGCACTTTTATTATTTTTCTTAATATATTCGGGCAAGTTTGCATTTCTTGTTATTACATTGACATTCATTTCTGCAATCAACATATTTTTTGAGTGTTACAAAAGTAATGAGGTCTTGTCCTCGATTCCAATAACACTACTGGCTACTGCTTTAATTTTCAAAGTATTTACTGAGTGGGTTAAAAAGAAAAAAAAAGTTAAAACTAAAAAACAGTGCAGGAGTTACAAACACCTTGAAGCAATCAAAGAATAAATGTTTTTATTGTTTTGATCCCTTTTAATGTTGGTGTATTTAGGTGAAAACAGATGCTTCTACTATGCCATCCTGTATCCCACCCATAACATCATCGTTACCTCTCACTGTCCAGTAGGTGTCGCTCTCAGATTTGTCACACCATTCATTTTCTCTCCGTTGCCTTCTTGTGCTACTTCCGGTTCCCCCTGGCCTGCTAAGGGAAGTGTCCTCCATGGTGTCATTGTAGGATTGTTGAGGTTGAACGTTTAGGAACAAAAATGTCTGGCTACACACCAGACGAGAAGCTGCGCTTCGACCAGCTAGTGAAGCTCCGGAGGCAGTGGCTGAAGGACCAGGAGCTCAGTCCCAGAGAGCCCGTGCTTCAGGCTAAACCTCCCGGGGCGGTCGCTAAGTTCTGGGCCGGGTTTCTGGAGCCCAAGAGCTTGTGGAGGCTTTATGTGAGTCCAGACGAAAACACTTTATTATTATGTTATAGGTTATCGGAACTTTGAAGTATTTGTAAAGAGATACATATAGGTAATTAAATAATTTTCGGCCATTTTGAAATATTTAGGTAAATACATTCATACAAACACATTCGGGTATTTTGTAATATTGTCACATCGTCACTCTTTTATCAGTTTCCTAAATTTTATTTTATTAAATTATGAGCATTTCTAATCTTGTATTTCCAGCACCCATCCTCTCTTTGAAACTCTCTGAGATCAAAGGCAAAATATGTCATTAAAAATAAAATCCCCTTTTGCAGAATATTACAAATTATGTGCAGGTTATGTTACATTAACAGGTACATTTAATACATTTCTATTGTTAATCAGGTTTATTGGCGTCATGCTACAAAATATAACCTTCTTTGCTCTATAAAAGCTCCGTAGGAACATTTTGAATGGTTAAATTAAATCATTATTTCATGGTTTTATCCAAATGTAACACTTAATCATTATTTGATGTTTTCTACTTCAAGTATAGAAAACCTCTAGTGTGTAAACTGCCAACCAGGACCTTTCTCTGTACTTCAGAAATCTGGTAAATTTAGGAATAGAATAGACAATCCCTTTATTGTTCCACAATGAGGAAATTGTGGTGAATTGTCCTTGAAAATTTAGACAAGTTATAATTACCTTCCACATACAGACAACATAAAATTTCATAGAAACAGTGTGCTATATATATCGAGATACAAATGCGGCTCACATCCTAAAGCAAAGTTGTTGTCCCTCCTGGAAATGGAAGAAAGGGGGGAAGTGAGGAGGCAGCTGGTCAAAAGAACTGCAACTTCCTGCAAAAAACTGTCACAGTTTTAGTTTTCTCACTAATGCAAGTTTGAAAAAAATGAAGGCTCCATGCCCTAACTGCAAGAAAGTACACATCTTGTGACTAAAAAAGAGCAGTTTTCTCCTAGCCACTTTGATTAATTGTTAACTGGAGTATAGAGACTCTAAAGCAGCTAACCCTAGCTGACACAGTACTTCACTTATAACAGTAATTATACAAAAATTATACAAAAATATTTTGCATTTAAGATGGCAAAAACTACTTTGTTTGTCAATATGATCTATCCAGAATTCCTCAAGGGGAAAAGTTGCAGTTTGACCTGAAAAATTCTCTTGTTTTGGAACATTTGCTATCCAGTTATTGATCAAAAAAATAAAGAACAGATTAAACGATTAGTGAATTATCATTAGTTGCATCCCTTGTTTTGGGATTCTCTTCTTTGGAGCAATAAATTAAACCTGGAACTTTTTGGCACTGTGTCTCTGCAGTTGATTTGGAGGAGGATGATTGAAGCAAAAAGTAAAAAGTACACCATGCCCACAGTGAGGCATGGTAGTGACTCAATTATGCTCTGGGCTGCTTTGCTTCCTGTGATTCTAGAAACCTGCAGCTTGAAGGGGGAAAGATCGAGTCTCTCAAGGTTTAAAGATCGATTCATGAAGATTTTTTAAAACTGACACTGATTAATTTTACGTCTGTCTATCCGACCCCAGATATGGTTGTTGATAATTTTGGAGAGGTCATTGCCTTTCCCTCCCCCATTTACAAGATAAAAATGAAACAATGCTACACAAGTCTAAATTTGAACAAAAGAACATATTTCTTAACAAGTCAAAAAAAACAAAAAACTAAAAAATGTATTTCCTACTGTGAAGGCTGCATTGCCTGTGCACAGAAATAAGAAATAAGCTGTTGGATAGTCCTGTCAGAATGGACTCTGTAAAACCAAGGTTTTAAGGTCATGATTTAAAGTCTGGAGTAAAACATCTACATTCTTGTAGATCAAATTAAAACGGTAATATTGAATTGAAAAAAATCTACTTTGAATTTTGGCAAATTCATTCAACCCTGTCTGGACAATAAATGGATTCTAAGCTAAGGTCAAACAAGGTCTGGTTGCCTGACCTAAACTGTACAAAAACACTAGTGATATTTGAGAAATTTGGACTGAATTTAAATATAAAACACTGACTACCTTCAGGCTTCAGCAGTGTGATGTGTTTCCTTAAGGAATGTTGGTAGTATTCTCACAGAAGGTACTTGTAATGTTAATGGTGTTAAACAGATAAAATCTTAATATAAAAGAAGCTCTCAATATTGAAATAGTTTTACCTTCTACATATCAAATGCCCACTGGGGGTATAAAACCTCAGGTTAAAAGAAAATAAGTAATCATAAGTTCTGAACGGATTTGATCATATTTCTGTGTTGTTGTTTTTTTTTGCAGACCTACAAAGCGTATAAAGGTGGAGTTTTCACTTTGACACGGCTGCTGATTCCTGCCTGGATTGTTCACTACTGTGTGAAATATCATATTGCTGTAAGTTTATAGATATTGTTACATCTCTGCTTATTTTATTTTTTTTAATTGTTTCTTATTTGAACATGCATGTAGGGAGAGAGCAAATTCTCCTTCCAGTGAATTAAATATTGCTTTTAGGCATGCAGAAAAATATATATACCTTCAAAATGGTCAAATTTGAGAAAAATAACAATCTGGGATTGTAATATATAATGACATGGTTTGGTCACATGCTCTTTTCTTACTGGTTATTTATTACTGGAAACTCAAACTGATGTAAATAATGATCTGAAGAATCATTTCTTAGAGCAGCACACAAAAAACCCACAAAAAACTGCTGTGTTTTTGTTTTTGTGTAAAAAAAAAAAAAAAAAACTATATTCCACATATTATCTATCTATCTATCTATCTATCTATCTATCTATCTATCTATCTATCTATCTATCTATCTATCTATCTATCTA